GACGGAGCAGGAACTTGAGGGAAACAGTACTCATGGCAGTAGGCCGAGTTAAAGTCCACTTTACCAGAAACCCAATTTATGCCAGGGTTATGGGCCTATAACCATGGAATTCCCAGGATGACGGGGAATAGTGGTGAAGAAATGACATCCAGGTGTAAGAGTTCCTTGTGCCCAGATGGAGATATAACTACGCGAAGTGGCATCGTTTCCTGTGTGACTGCCCCAGATCTGATGTTGGATCCGTCCGCCAGAAATACCGCCAGTCTCTGTATTTTGGCCCTTAAGGGTATCTGATGTTGCTGAACAAAGGTGGTGTCAATGAAGCAACTGCAAGCTCCAGAGTCAATAATAGCTGTTACTGGTAGGGTTTTTCCTGAAAGCTGAAATGAAACGGAGATGGTGAGCTGAGCAGGGTTGATAGCAGGCATTTTAGCAGGCAGGGTTGTCAGAGACTTACTTGATTTTGCAGGATAATTTTGCACATAGTGCCCAGGTTCTCCGCAGTAGAGGCATAAGTTGCCCTGGCGGCAGCATTGCCACTCTTCCGGAGTGAGGGTGGTACGTAGTAACCCGATTTACATGGGTTCGGACCCCTCAAAACTGGGTGTGGTAGAACTGGTTGATGCTATACTTGTTGGAGGTGATACCCTGGGCATCATCCATGTGGGGCGAGCTTGACCTGCGGATCTCTCCAGCCTTCGTTCCCTGAGTTGGAGGTCAATCTAAATAGTCAGCTTAATAAGATCCTCCAAGGTATTCAGTACTCCAACCCGAGCTAACTCGTCTTTCAGGGGTTCGGCCAGACCCAAGCAAAATTGATAACGCAGAGCAGCGTCATTCCAGCTAGTATCAGCGCTCCAGTGCCTGAACTCGGTTACGTAGTCCTCAGCTGCTCTACGACCTTGCTGGAGAGAGTGAAGCGCCACTTCTGCAGATGCAGATCATTGGGGGGTCATCGTACAGTTGCGCCATAGCTTCAAAGAAGCTGTCTAGGGAAGTCAGTTTGGCATCTGCTTTTTCCATTAAATGATGGGCCCATGCCTGTGGCTCATTCTGGAGAAGGGAGATCACAAATCCCACTTTGGTTGCTTCCAGCGAGAAGGTGCAAGCTTGTAACGCAAAATATAACCCACATGCGTTCCGGAAGGCTCTGAATTCGTGGTGGTCGCCAGAAAATCTCTCGGGCGTAGGTACCCTAGGTTCAGGAGACAAGATCATCACAGTAGGACTTGCCACAGCTCCTGGAGCTGCAGTTGGTGGGGAAGGAGCTGAGATGTTAGCAGCGGATGCCGGTAGAGACAGGGCCTGACAATGATCTTCCAAGCAGTTGTACCCCTCTTGCAAGCCCTTGACAGCTTGAGTCAATGCCGCAATGTGTTGGCAAATCTCTTCCAGAGGAGAGGCCCCTCTCTCAGGCTCCAACATGGCCTTCTGGTACTGTCAGAACTATGGCGGGTAGCTCTATAGATCCACAGCTTGGGGTTCCCCAGGGCGCGGAGTCTAAGCCCCAGTCTGCTTATTCACCAAGGCCCCTGATGGTACAGATGGACTTGGAGCAGGCTGGAACCAGGTCGCGGCCCCCAGGTACACCCAGCTGAGGTAGAGGAGACCGCTAGCGGAAGCAGGGCACAATGTGACTATCACATACCGAATTGGGGAGCCTGAAGAGAGAGAGCGTCCTCTTACAACTCCCGCTCAGAGCCCCTGAAAGTGGGAACAGGGGCGCAGAGCCAGGAGGGGCAGGAGTGCCGTGTAGATCTTTGCAATTGTTAGTATGTAGCTGGTAACCCAGGAGCTCCGGACACAAGCCAGGCGTGGTTGCAGGAACGTGGGTGCAGCAGCAGGCAGGTATGGCGGCGGTCAGGGTGTGGGTCTTGGGACCGAGCACCAGTGCGTGAATGCGGTGACAGACAGGTATGGCGGTAGTCCGGATGTAGGCCAGATGCAGAGTCGTGGGTGCAGCGGAAGGTACGTATGGTTGCTGACAGGATGCAGGTCAGGTGCAGGCAGAATCATACAGCTGAGTCAGGCAGGCCGGGTTGATAACAAGCGGGCATATAAGTACAAAAGGAGCAGGCAGGAGAATGGTCAGGGATAGCTGGGGTCGGTGCAGGCGGAGTTCTTTCTTAGGCGGGTATACAGAATGCAGGTATCAGGATCAGAATCAGGAAATGTGTGCAGGAACGTCTTTAGACCAGAAGGCAATGATTTCCATATGAAGCAGGTTTAAATAGCCCGCCAGACGTGACGTGTGCGCTACTGCGCATGCGCGAGCCTTCCGCACTACCGTGCCGCACGCTCCCGCGCTTGCGTACTTGCACCGCCGCGACTCGAGGGGATCCGCCGCACCGCTGCACAGCGACAGGATCCCTGACAGCAGGTGTGCACTGACTCCTATTTAACATGATTTCGAATGTGGTTGCCTAATTCTGAACACAGCTACATTCCCAGTTTTAAGAGTGTGCACACTTATGCAACCACATTATTTTAGTTTTCTATGTTTACTTCTCCCACCTCCCTAAAAGATTTCAGTTTGTTTTTCACTTGAGTTGTACAGTTTATAGGTCACATTAAAGGTGGAAGAAGTTCTGAAATGATTTATCTTTTTCTCATTTTTTTTACATCACAGAAACTGGACATTTTAACAGGGGTGTGTAGACTTTTTATATCCATTGTAGGTAGCAGAAAACATTTGGGCAGCACTGCTATTCATGATGTCCTCATACTGATGATACGTGTTGGTCAGGGCTTGTTGCTGTAACATCAGTTCCATTATCTGGAACGCATGCCTGCATTCCACAGGCTGTACCAGGAGGAGCAAGCTGGTTATTATGTGTGCTGGCTAAAGATGTTGTACGTTAGGGGGAAAAAAGTTAAGCCATTAGTACTACTATAAAGTCACTTAAACAACTTATTTTTGTCATTTGTACAATGGAACAAACGATTTTAGCGGATTTGTTTTAAACAGTTTCAAACTTAGCCTGCCATACAGTAGTATAATTCCATTTGAAACTTCTCATTTTAAGAATGTTTTCATTAGCGGGGAAAAAAAAATTAGTTTTCAACCGCAGTAACCAGAAAATTCTAAACAGGATGGCAATCTTTTTTGAACAAATTTCTAATGCTGTATGTGGTTTTGGTTCAGTAAGGTCAATTTGTTCCAAAACAAATGTTAACAGCAAACAAAATTTTGAAGTACTTTTTGAATAACATCCATCAAACCATGAAATGTACAGAAACTTTTTGTATGAATATTCATACAGCGTTTGTTCAAAAATCTACTAGTGTATGGCCAGTTTAAAGTGTAACTAAAGGCAAAAATTTTTTTTTGCGTTTTGGATAGAGTGGAGAGAGGTTAGAACACCTGTCTGTTTTACTGCTGTCTATGCCCCTATTAGGGAGATTCACCCTCTCCCTCTGTCCTGTTTACCATTATCAAAAGTGAACATAAAAGAAAATCCCAAATTTTAGCTTGACATTAGAACAGTAATAGAGCAGAAGTCTTCCAATGGAGACACTATTTCTGGCTACCCTGGTTACACCCCAGGCTTCCCTCACTTTGGAGAGATTTTCTCTCAATTCCTGTTTTGGTTATGGGACAGAACGTGAAAGGAAATCTACCTAATGGGACACAAGATGGCAAAAAAAAAAAAAACCTGACAAGGGTTATAGCTCTGCATTATTCGATCCAAAATAATGGAAAATTGAATGACAGATTCTTACCGTAATTTTAGTTTCCTGACGTTCTCCATGTCAGCACAGCTGGGTAAGGGCCCTGCTCCCCCCATGCTTCTAGGACTCAACTCAAAAATTTGATCCCACCTGCAGCCTCAGCATTCTTTAACTAGTCCTACCAAGCTGGGTGGGAACTGTGCTGACAAGTTAAGACAGGAAAATTAATAATAAGTATCTGTCATTCAATGTTCCATTTTCCTTAATGCTTCATGTCATCACAGCTGGGAACTAACTAGCCACACAGGGGAGGGATAATGCTTCACACTCCTCAGTTCTGGCTAAGAAGCAGAAGCCAGGATGCCTCTGCCAAACTCAACTGTCATTAAGACTGCTTCTATACAGTAATGAGCCATGAACATATATATTGATCCCCTAGGTAGCTGCCTTGCAGATAGTGTCTGGGAACACTCAGCCTGCTGCCACTCACAAGGCTGAGACCCTTCGGGTGGACAGTGAAGTGATCCCCCTGGCACAGCCAATATTTTCACCTTGTAGGCCAAGGAGATGAGCTTCACCAACCAGGAGACAATATCCTTGGTGGAAGCCATAAAATCATTACACAATCCACCTGGAATAACAAACAAGTGCTCCGATTTCCTGATGCCAGATGTTGACTTGATGTTAAATTTTAAAGCTTGACCTACATCTGATGGGCTAACTTTCTGGGTACTCCCCAAAAGGGATGTAGGAAGGACAACTTTCCGTGTTATGTGGACTGTGAAGGCCACTTAGGCACAATCTGAACATCAGCATCAGTACCACCCTATCCGATACAAAAGGGTTTTTTAACCACTTCAAGTCTGGACACTTTTACCCCTTTCCTATCCAGGCCAATTTTCAGCTTTCAGTGCTATCACACTTTGAAGGACAATTGCGCGGTCATGCAACACTGTACCCATATTAATTTTTTTATCATTTTTTTGAGACAGATAAAACTTTATTTTGGTGGTATTTATTCACCACTGGGATTTTTATTTTTTCGCTACATAAAATGAAAAAGTGTAAACATTTTGAAAAATGTTTATCTTATAAAATTTAGCAAATTAAAAATCTTTCTTCATAAATCTTGCCCAAAATGTATTCAGCTATCTTTTTAGTAAAAAAAAAATAACCCAAATTAGTTTATAATCAAAAATTATAATTTTTCTAAATTTTTTTTAACATTTTTATTTTTTATTTTTATTTTTTTAACATTCTGTCACCATAGTGACACTGTACTACTGTACTACTTGGGGGGGGGGGGGGGTGCAGCCATTGAGAAATACTGTGAGAGCTGTGATTGGTCACAGCTTGTCACATGGTACAAGGCTGTTGTGAATAGCCTTGTACCATGTGATCTCTATGATCATTCACAGATTTCACACGTAGTAAGCAATGATGTCAGAAGTGACATCTTGCTTACTACTATTCATGTGATCACTGATTGGCCAATCATTGATCACATGATCAGGACCTCACATAGAGGTCCCATACAGCGATCGGTGTTCTGCTGTGTCCGAGGGAGCGCACACAGGCTGACAATGCGGGCGCCGTTTATGAACGGCAACCTGCTCCTGCACTGCTCCCGTCCGGTCGTTTATATACATGGGCCGGACAGGAAGTGGTTAAACCCCAGGCCTACTAATACAGACACTCTTCTGGTTGATGTAATTGCCACCAGGAAAGCAGTTTTCAGCGTGAGGTACCACAAGGGGCCATTTTGATTGAAGGCATCGGATTCAAGCAAGTCCAACACCACTTCACAAACAATCCCTTGGGTAGGTTTCAACCAAGTTACAGCTTGAAGGACAGTAAAATTGAGTGTTGGATGCCCACTGTATGCCAGTGAAGGCAGAGATAGCTGAAATGTGGTCCCATAAGCATACTTACTCATAAACCTAACTCAAGTACCCACGAACAGAAACTTAAGAATGTGACAGACCTGTGAAGAGCCCAGTGTAAAATCTTGATCAGCAGCAATCCTGTGAATATATGTCATATTTTAATATAGGCACTGTTAGTGCTGTTCTTCTTTGCTTTCGTAAGAGTATTCACAAGCTTTACAGAGTCCCCAAGATCTATTAGCCTCTGCCTCTCAAGACCCAAGCCATGAGCTTGAGCCTGTCAGGTGTTGAACGAATATGACTTTGGATGAATGTGATCCGATCTTACCGCATGGATCCTTTGCACTCCTTAGGAGAGGCAATGGGTACCAACGCCCCTTCAACCAATCTGGGATCACCACAAGAACTATCACCTTCCCTTGCCACAGCCTCAGCAGGAAGCTGAGAATCAAAGGGAGAGGCAGAAAGGCATAAGCTGTCCTGGAGATCCACTATGTGATCAGCACTTCGACCCGGATTGCTTGTGGATGCTGGACCCTGGAATAGAAAGCAACTTGGTGTTGACTGAGGGTGTGAACAGGTCTACCTCATGCAGTGATTACCAAGCTCATTTGTTCTCGAAAGACTTGTGGCAGTCTGGGCCATTCATTGTTATCCAGGATTGTCCTGGACACATTGTTTGCCTAAAGATTCCTCCGACTGGGCACACAGGCAGCAGATATCTGCAGGATATTGACTTGGGCCAACTCTAGAATCAGAGAAACCTCCTTCAGGAGGGAGACACTAAGTGCCCCCTTGTTTCCAAATGTAGACCACAGTCGTTGTGCTCTCTAACTTCACTAGGACAGGTCCATCTTGGATGAGGTCACTGAAGGCTAGGAGAGCCTGAAATTCAAATCTTAACTCCTACTTTGCTGGTGCCTTACTGCACCACCAGCCACTAGGTCATCAGATGGGAATGACATTGCAGAGGATACTGCTTCTCCAACTACAACTTGTGGCTCACTTCCATACATAATCCATATCTTCTGACATAGGCCCTCTGAATGCTACCAGTCCATAAACCCAACTGGATAGGGGGTGGGAGTTCAACTGAGTCTACCTGACCTCCTGGATCTGAGATGTGAAGAATGAACGATCTCCCAAATATGACCTGAAATGCATACCTTGAGTGACCATGTGTCCGTCACCAAAGCTGTACCTATGTCCAAAGCGGAACTATCAAGTGCCCATAACACATGTATGGATGGCACAATTCCCAATATACCAGAAAGCTTTGACTCCCAGCCAGAAATGCAAAAGCTACCCTATCTGGAGTGTGAGCGTGGAAGCTGACTCTTGATCTCCAGTTTCCTTTAACTCAACAGATGTTCATCTTGAGGCATAAGTCAAACTGACTACTATTAATTCAGACTTCACCTTCCAAGATCAAGAACAATGCAGTTATTGAGTACATCCTTGAAGGCCACAGCATCTTCTAATGGTAAAGTCATGTATCTGGCCAATCCTATAAGGGACACACTGACCAAAGGGGTGATTCAAAACCCTTGACATCCTGCTGTGAAAACAAGCTCCAATCTTGTAGAACAGGCACTTGATGCAGTCACAATAAGGGAATTGTCAAGCCGTCCTCTGGAGGCACTTGAAATACTTCCATAGCTTTGCTTCTATTTAAAGGAATTTCATCAACCTTATAAAAGGAGGACTCAACCTGGACAAAGTTCATCCTCATCTTCTTGTTCAGAAGGGACTGATGAGGATTGATTAGCTGGAGAAGGCTCTGAGACCAGCTATAATGGTCCTAAAAGAAAGACTGGACATTGCCAGAATAGATGGCCCTTGCAGATGCTGAATTCAGTAATTCCTTTAGTCCTTGACCGCATGCTTAATTGTGACAACTTGGTCACCATCATCTTAATCACGGTCCATTTAAACAAAGCAGGATTCATACAACCATGCATGTCCACATGTTCTTTGCATGAATCTGCCAAGGGTTGATTTGACTGAGAAGATTTTTTAGACTGCTAATTGTCAGAATATACTGTATGACCCCTTCACAAGGTGAGTGGAAGCAACTCCATTAGAATGTGTTGACCACATGATCAATGAATGTGATAAATTGTTAGGTGTCAACTTTTTTTATCCCTGATTGCTTAACCCTTTGACGCAGATCACACGCAAATATGCAGCCTTTCCGCATCTGGGCCTTGACGCCGAGCAGCTGCATATTTGCATGCAATTAGAAAATACAAATGTGCTGAGAGCGCATGTCCTGCACTCTCCCAGCACTTATGTCCACGACTCCCGGAAAGGTCCTGATCTCCCCTTTCGATCGGACCTTTTCTGATCATGTGACTGCCGTGATGGCGAATCACGGCGGTCACATGACCCTAAAACCCCGTCCCGCCTCCCGGCTTCTGAAACTCTTAAAGGGCCTGGAGGCGCCAGTGCGAAGAGGTTAAACCAGCAGGGCTCACACAGTCATGCTCATCTGAATCTGCTTTTGGAAGATTCTGAGGATTGTTTGCTTGAAAGGCTTGGAGACTGCTCATTGATAGAACAGATAACCCTTCACAGTGTGATTGGAAACATTCTTTTAGAGTGTATTAGCCTCATGTGACAACCTGTTAGGTGTCATCTTTGTCCTTGGTTGCTCAAACAAAGCAGTATTCATGCAATCATGTGCGTCCACATCGTTCTCTTTGGAAACTCTGAAGAAGGGATGCTTCGTCTGGGAAGACTATGCAGCTTCTCATTGCCAAAGCAGATAACCCTTCAAAGGGTGAGTGGAAACCATTCCTTTAGTGTATTGACAATGTATTTATTGAATGTGACATCCTGTTCGGTATCATTATCTCTATCCATGGCTGCTTAAACCAGCCGGATACATAGTCATGCTCGTCCGCCTCTTCCTTTTTAGAATCTGAAGAAGCTGCCTTGTGTGGCATGGCTATGAGACTTCTAATCACCAGAACATATAACCCTTTCACAGGGTGAGTGGAAACAACTCCCTTTAAGTGCACTGGCCACTTAATGAATGTGACGCGTTGGGTGTCATCATCCTCATTTGTGGTTGCTTGAACAAAGCAAGATTCATATTGTCATGTTCATTTGTCTTTTCCCCTTTGGAGAGTCTGAAGAGGCGGTTCTGCCTGGGAAGACTATGAGACTGCTCGTTGTTAGAACACATAACCCCTTCACAGGGTGAGTGAAACACTTACATTCATGTTCATCTGTGTCTTCTTTTTTGAAAAGGCTGAAGAGGGTTGTCTTGCTTGGGAAAGCTAAGACCGCTCATTGCCAGACTAGATAATCCTTTCACAGGGTTTTGCCTGCTGCTTAAAGCAGCTAAGAAAACCCCCAACAATTTAATGAAGTGGAAAATAGCTTGCTTCGTAAAAAAACGTAAAGGGTTAATCACTGCTGGAGGGATGCCGATACTTCGGCTTCCAGCCATGCCCTGAAGTTACCAGGTGGTTAATGAACCAAACCTTGCCCTGCCAGAGAACAGGACATGATGAAAATGTTTTGTTAAGAAATGCAACAAAAAGGTAGGAATCTGCCTCAGAATTACAATAATATTCTGCAATGTACACAAACCATCCAAGGGAATTGTTGACATTATAAAGAACTTCTCTCTTTTTTTTTTTTGGAGAAACTGTAGACCATAAACATATTAAAGGGTTGTCCTATACTCCAACAGGCAATGCTGGCTACAGTAGTCATCCACAGGTGACTCCTTTACCTTCTTTGGTAATGCCGGTCTTTTTAGGGGGTTGGCATAATGGCACAATAGTAAAGCAAATATGAGAAGTCACCAACAGGTAATGCCATGTGTAAACAGACAAAGTATTACTTTGTACACCTGTTATGCAGAGTACTATCTGTGGAGGAGCTCAGGGTATGCACAACAAGGCACAACAGTATCCAGCAATGCAGTATTCATTTGGATACAAAGCATTTTTAAATTTAGCTCACCCAACCTCCGCCATCCGGCTTTAAACACTGGCACTGCGTGGGTGTGCATGCCTGGAGGAGACTGCTGACACCGCTTCCCACTTCACATGGACCCAGTGGACCCCACACAAGGCTGTTAGCCATGATAAAAGCTGCCCTGAGGACCATCAGCGGAGCTCCCTGGATTATGGGTCATTTAGCCGGTACACCAGGGGCCGCATCCAGCTGAAACCCACATGCATGGACATACAGTCAGCCCTTAGAATGGCCAGGTAGAGGCGCACACCTAGGTCCTGCACATGGGAGGAAAAAAGAGGAACACTGAGGCTGTAGGTGGGCTCAAATTTATGAGTTAGGTCCTGGAAGCATGGGGGTGGTGGGGCCCTTACCCAGCTGTGCTGTCAGGATATAAAAATGTTTCCTTTAGTTCTACTTTAAGCTGGCATTACACTAGTAAAATATAGTTAGAAAATTTTACTTTCAAGAATATTTGTTTGACATTCATTTTCTCCGGCACTTTCCCCTCCCCTCTGAAACATGCACACATCACCCCCATACTTAAAAAGCCCTCCCTGGACCCCAATGACCCGAACAACTTCAGACCCATCTCCCTGCTCCCATTTACATCTAAGCTCCTCGTGCGCCTAGTCTACACCCGCCTATGCTCTCACCTCAACGACAACAACCTCCTCGATCCCCTACAGTCCGGCTTCCGTCCCCTACACTCCACCAAAACTGCCTTACTCAAACTCTCCAACGACCTGCTAACCGCCAAAGCTAATGGCCACTATTCAGTGCTCCTACTCCTTGACCTCTCTGCAGCCTTC